TGATGGATTGATTGATGGATGGATGGATGGATGATGGATTGATTGATTGATTGATTGATTGATGCATGGATGGATGGATGGATTGATTGATTGATTTATTGATGCATGGATGGTGGATGGATTGATGGATGGATGGATGGATGGATGGATGATGGATTGATTGATTGATTGATGCATGGATTGGGTGGATGGATGATGGATGGATGGATGATGGATTGGTGGATGGATGGATGGATGGATGATGGATGGGTGGATGATGGATGGATGGGTGGATGATGGATGGGTGGAAGATTGATAGATTGATTATGGATGGGTGGTTACCTTTGGACAGTCCTCTCCTGCATATCCTGCTCTGGTGGAGAAGGAGCCGATGTCAAACACCAAAGCACCCACTTCATCTGAGACACAGAGAGATTATGATTATTATACCAGTCTGATCAATATTAATGTCCACTCAGTTTATTAGTAAATCTCTGTTCACACACACAGATTGTTTGAAAGTAGCTTTACATAAATCCATAAAGTGAAACTGTAATCAGTGAACGTCTTCTAGTCACATGATGAATGCTGACTGGATCGTTTACATGTGCAGATGAGAGAAAGATCTGCTGTCAGTGTCTGTGGCTTCCTGTGAGATTATGAATGTGTGAAATCTTGATATACATAACGACAGATGAAGTATGTGCTCATAATAATCATGAAAAACCAAATTACTATCAGCTGATGTGTCACGTGATTAAATGACAGATTTTGGTCGTATCGCCCTCATGTAGACTAGAGAGGAAACTGATACAGTGCCTTCCGCTGATATCGGCACACTTGGTAAATATGAGCAAAGGCTGTGAAAATAAATCAGCAAATTCACAAAATTCTGACCTATCATTGAAGTAAAACAATTGAGAGTGGGGGGGAAATCTCATTGTGAAATAAATGCTTTCTCTAGTTGATGTTGGCCACAATTATTGCAAGGTCCTTTTCCCAAGAGAACAGCTCTGAGTCTTCTCCTGTAATGTTTGGAGAGCACCTGACGAGAGATCAGAGAGCATTCCTTCATCCAGATCTCTTCAGATTCACAGCTTCTTGATGTCTGTTTTGGATCACTGTCCTGATGGAAGATCCAAACATGGTCCATTATAAGCTTTCTAACAGAGACAGGCAGGTTTAGATTTGTATCTGTTGGTATTTGATAGAATCCATCTGAACAAGACGTCCAGGACCTCCGGCAGAAAAACAGACACACATCATTAAAGATCCAGCAGTGTTTAAGCCTGGACATGGGCTGCTTTTTATCCCTGTTTGTACTAAACACATCTGGTGGTTTGCTGCCAAAAGGCTCTTTGTTTTTAGTTTCATCTGAGCAGAGAAGCCCGTCCCGTTTGAAGCTCCAGTCGCGTCTGACAGCTGGATATGCTGGAGATTGTTTCTGGATGAGTGACGAGGGTTGTTCCTGAAACCCTCCTGAACAACATGATGATGTAGAGGCTGTCTGAGACTGAACTAATCTCTGTGATTCTCCAGCTGTGATCCTCAGAGAGTCTTTAGCCGCTCAAACTCTCGTCCTCCCTGCGTTAGTACGATATAGACACACGTCCTCTTCCAGACAGATTCATAACGTCTTATATTAGTGGAGGGCACTGTATTCACACAATAACACTTCTAAATGACACGTGAGATCTTTAGTCTAAAATAAGTGTGGCAAAGAATTCAAACTGGACTGGTGTTGATATGGAGGGCGAGACTGCCAGCAGGTGTGTGCAGTACAGAGCTCGCATGGTAAAGCATGGTAAAGCATGGGTCTTCTGTGTTCATGCCTGCAGTGATGCGCGGGATGCTGGCGGATGCGGTTGTCATGGTGATGTGCGATCGCTGCTCTTACCTCCGCCGTACACGCCGCCGCTCATCGCGCTGGATCGGTCGGTTACCGGGTGTGTACCGGGTGTGTTCGGTTCGCTGAGGCTGAGTAACGGAACCGAATATCTCCGCACGCGCACTGCTGTCGCCGGTCACGCGCTGCTGACGGTAACCTGCGAGTGTCCGGTAGACCCCGCGCTGTCACGTGCTGCTGTGAAATAATGACGATTCTCTACAAGTGCTCGTGATTTCACGTTTCAGATGAATCCGTGATGACGGAGGGTTTATGTTTACATTCTCTTACATCACGGATGACGGAGATGTTCACACCGACATCGAATTATAACTGTACGTTTTTGCGAAAAGGAATTCAAATGTTCTTTATTATTTTTTTTATGAATTATGTTTTTTTTTTTTTTTAATTAAATTATTTTTAATATAGCCTATGTAAGAATAAAAACCTATTTTTTTGTATGGCCAAAAAATCACGTACTGCAGTAAAACTGTGGTAAATTTTGCGTCTCCATATAAATCCATTTACTATTGTTCAGTGACAATAACTACAGAAACTATGATTACTGTGGTAAAATTATGTGTGTGTGTGTGTGTGTGTGTGTGTGTGTGTGTGTGTGTGTTACCAGGAGGAAACACCTGCATCC